CCACGAGCACCCTGGCGGCAGGGGCCGGGGTTCCCAGGGGAACGAGACAGCGAGGTGCCCAGGAGGGTCCCTCTTGGAGGAGCCCCTTGCCCACCCAGGGTTTTATCACACAGCAGCAGCAAAGGTGCAGGGACGCAGCTCCCCAGCAGCTCTCTTCGCCCTCCACCCTACGGCCCCCAATCCCCTTGCTTCCCACTGCCTCCTCCCTGCTGAGCCTCCATTGCTCCACGTGGCCCCTTCCCCGCTGAGCCTCCAGCCCCCCAGCTCCTGCAGCTTTCAGCAGGGCTGTTCTTTATGGGCTACGGCTGACTTCAAAGCAGTCCGCTAATTTGGCCTGCCAGTATAATTAGAAGCAGCAATGCTGTTGGGGCTCTTTTCATCCTGAAGCATGCCAAAGTGCTCGGCGGCTTGCAGATGACCTGCTTCTCCTTTATAGCCCCTCTGGTGCTGGCAGAGCCATCGGCAGGGGGGGAGCCTGCCTGTGCTGGCCCCTCAATGCTGCTGGGGGGCCCCCCTTGGAGCAAGCAAATGTTCAGTGCTCTGCTCACCCCAAAACATGACCTGCTCCAGGCTGCAGCGTGGTCCTTGGGGCAGGAGGGGAAACCGAGGCGTGCGTCAGATGGCCAGCAGGATTTGGTCGTCATCCTTGGCCAGGACCCAGGGCTCACCACGTAAACCCCCCAAGCCCGTGCCCTGTAGGGATACATCACCTGTAGGTCGTGATGTATCTGGTGGGGAGGAAGGTCTCCACACTGGATGTCCAGGAGCAGGAGAAATTCTCGTAGTCAGACGCTCTGCAAGACACAAAGGGGACCCCCGGCAGGTCTGGGGTCCAGGGGGAAGCGATGGTCAGCGAGGGGTCCCCCGTTCCGCAGCCCAGCTGGCGCGCAGGGACCCCTGTGTCACCGCGAAGTCCCCTCTTGGCAAGCCCCTGCCAGGGGTGCCATCCTGGTGGGGCTGCACACCCCCCATACCCCAGCCTGCGGACACACTACTCACACCCCAGCCGCAGGGACACGGCGTGCAGGAGGCCACTGTCCTCGTGGTGGCAGGCGGGCGG